GGGAAGGCCAAAGTTATGCTGCAGCGCAGAAAGGCGAGCAGCAGCAGGGTGAGAACACCGAAAGCACGCACAGCCGCTACAGTGAACGTCACATCCTGTTCCAAGTTGCGGATCAGTCTGGTGATGGTTTCTGGTATCCAGTACTCTTTTTACTAAAGCTGCATCAGGGTCCTGGTATGTGGCCTCACAAACGCTGGTGCTCAACACCAGGGGGCGTGCGGTTACCCTGCACCAGACCCTGCTAATCCATTCCACACTTTGACTCCTAACTTCAACATCAGGCAGACAGTGTCTGAGTCCTGGTCACCGAACTGCGAAACTGCGAATGGTTTGTTAAATCTATTATGGTTCCTTTTATCGTTCAATCTGTTACTTGGATAACTGTGGGAATTCTAAAGATAATACATGCCGACGAGCGCTAGGGGACGGCTGCTCCACTTTTGCACACTGCTCCCTCTTATGCTGTGCTGGTGCCTCTTCCTCCAAACTGCACACGTCACTCGCATGACCTTGATTCCATGTGGGGTCTAGGACCTCATCATCCTCCACATCATCTTCCACCCACTCCTCAACACTGCCCTCCTTGCCGGTCTGCACACTGCAGAAAGCCACAGCAGTTGGCATCTGTGTTTTTCCAGCATGTAAACTCTGCAAAGGACATATGGGAATTGTTTTAGAATTGTATCCAGGCAACAGTTTTCCCTATAAACTGACCTCTCAGTTTGACTTGTGAGGGTATTGCCCCCGAATTATAAAATTGTTATATTGATATTTGACGGTTCTATTTGACTGTCAGATATGAAGTTCAGGCCGCAAATGTACTATTTAGCACCCAAAAAAATTTGAATTGGTCAAACTGCGCTGTAACCACAGTATTTGACGGTTCTATTTGACTGTCAGATATGAAGTGCACACCCCAAATTTATTTTTTATCACCCCAAACAATTAGAATTTTTCAAAGTTCACTGTAAGCACAGTGTTTAACGGTTCTAATTGACTCTCAGATATGATCTGCACCACAAGTCGCAAATGTACTATTTAGCATTAGCACCCAAAACAATTAGAATTTTTCAAAGTTCGCTGTAAGCACAGTATTTGATGGTTCTATTTGACTGTCAGATATGAAGTGCAGGCCACAAATGTACTATTTAGCACCCAAAAAAAATTGAATTGGTCAAACTGCGCTGTAACCACAGTATTTGACGGTTCTATTTGACTGTCAGATATGAAGTGCACACCCCAAATTTACTTTTTAGCACCTAAAGAATTAGAATTTTTACAACTGCAATGTAAGCACAATATGTGATGGTTCTATTTGACTCTCATATATGAAGTTCACCGCAGGCAGCAAATGTACTATTTAGCAGCCAAAAAATTTGAATGTTTAAAACTGCTATGTCACAGCACTATTTGACGGTTCTGTTTGACTTTCAGATATGAAGAGCATGCCCCAAATTTACTATTTAGCAGTTTAGCACCAAAACAATTAGAATTTTTACAACTATGCTGTAACCACAGTATTTGACGCTTCTATTTGACTCTCAGATATGAAGAGCACACCCCAAATGTACTTCTTAGTAGCAAAAAAATGGTAATTTGTCAAAGTGCGCTGTAAACACAGTAGTTGACGCTTCTATTTGACTCTCAGATATGAAGAGCACACCTCAAATGTACTTCTTAGGAGCAAAAAAATGGGAATTTGTCAAAGTGTGCTGTAAACACAGTATTTGACGCTTCTATTTGACTCTCAGATATGAAGTGCAGGGCCCAAATTTACTATTTAGCAGATTAGCACCCAGAAAATAAGAATGTTTACAATTGCGCTGTAATCTGCTGGTTGACGCTTCTATTTGACTCTCAGATATGAAGAGCATGCCCCAAATTTACTATTTAGCAGTTTAGCACCCAGAAAATAAGAATGTTTACAATTGCGATGTAACCACACTATTTGACACTTCTATTTGACTCTCAGATATGAAGTGCATGGCCCAAATTTACTATTTAGCAGATTAGCACCAAAACAATTAGAATTTTTACAGCTGTGCTGTAAACCGCAGTATTTGACGCTTCTATTTGACTCTCAGATATGAAGCGCACCCCACTAACGTACTTTTTAGTACCCAAAAAATTTACTTTTTAAAACTCTGATGTAACCACAGTATTTGACGCTTCTATTTGACTCTCAGGTATGAAGTGCACCCCACTAATGTACTAGTTTGCAGAATTCTTTCCTAATCTGTCCCTGAAAGCGGCAGCATCCTCTCCCTGTGACATGAGGCGCTACGTGACTCCAGATTATATATAGAGGCTGGGTCACATGCTGCACTGGCCAATCACAGCCATGCCAAGGCATGCCCTGCAGCCTTTCAAAAGCTCCATTAAATCACCGAACACCAAACTCCAACCCGAACTTACACTGATATGTCCGTGTTCGGGTCTGGGGTCCAAAAAACTTAATGTTTGGTACGAACTCGAACTTTACAGTCTGGGTTCGCTCAACTCTAACTATGATGCTTGAAGTAACACTAACATATTTCACAATTTTTAGAGTGTTAAATTACTGGAAAAATCACCATACAGTAAAAAAAAAAAAAAGAGTGTTTCAGTATGGTGACACAAAGGATGTCACTTCAACACATTTGTCAATGGGAAGCAAGCTAAGAGGCATGTCTAAATGAGAACAGGTCTCCAAAGACAACCAATGTGTTATATAAAGATCTGGCAAAGGTATTCATGTGGGGTCTTTAAGATAGCAAGGCTTTTTGAAGGAAAGGAAGGGGGGTGGGAGAAAGGGAAGAAAACTTACAGTTTTGAAGTTTTAATGAAGATTAAATTTGGTGATAAAATAATCAGGAGAAGTGGCTTTTTATACCCCATTTCAAATAGCCCAAGTTGTCTTGTTATCTAAAGGATATGCCATGATGGGAATAGAATGCTGTTGGGGACTTCTAGTTTGTCTATAAAGGAACATGGGTCAAATAAATTGGTGAAAACTGCAAAATTGAAATAAAGCAAAACATGATGGTAGAATGAGCAAAAAGTAAAATTAAAACAACCAAATGCACATTGTCAGACAACTGGTCCTACTATTTCCTGGTTTGGTTACCTCAGTGGAACCAAACCAGAGCACTTGATATGCTGTGACGTCTTTGATTGGACAGCCACAGAAATTCTGTGTGGGGTTAGAAGGGGAGGGCTTGCAAAGGCAGCAGACAAAAGATCAAGACAAGCTGGTTCTGGATCTAACCCCAATGAATAAATGTATCATTAAATGCATGTACTTTTTTCATTAGGGATAAATCTACTATATATTTATTCTCTTTTTCCTGTATTTGGGCAGTAGAGTTTCCCTTTTAAAGAAAATATATTCACATTTACAGCAACTTTTCTTTCTGAATTGTCTATTGCACATTACACAAATAGCTAGTACCTTTCACCAGTGTCGGTCCTACTATTATTAATAAAAGCTTTGCCTCAATACATGGGAACCCGTATTGTCTGCTTCTATGCTGTCAATCACTAGTACAGATCATTCTTTTCATGATGTATGCTACATGCAGAACTTCTTTCTTATCAAGATGTACATAACATGCTTCACACCATAAAGAATTTTAGGTCCATACGTGCAAACATTAAAATTATATATAATGTACATGATTTATATTTTTCACTTGTAGATGTTCATTAAAAAAAATTATATATTTATTTTTTATTTTGTTTAAGGAATTAAACAACTTTAGACAGAATGCCATGCCCTCTATTTGCAATACATACTTGGACTGAAATGTTAGTTTAAAAGCAAACATGCTAATATATATTGAATCTCACACTTCACTGACGTCGGCTCCTCTTCTCATGATGTCACCCTGAAGGCGTGCTTTCAGGATGAGAGTTCAATCCAAAGCTCCTCACATAGGGGACTGAAAGTGCACTTCACAGTCATTGATTCTGTAATAGACACTCATTTCATTCATTGATTACCTATGGCCAGCCTTGATGGCACTGTGCATGCACAGTTTTTAATTTATACAATAAACCACTATATCCTTTACAAACAAATAAGATCCTCAGGTGGGGATTATATCACCATATGCTGTTTTCTAAGATCCAGTGGGATGCTCTATACACTGTTAGTGTGTTTTTTAAATTTTTTACCTCTACCTCATAAAATACTGCACTAGGTTTTATTATATTTCCGGTTTATTCTACATATCTCTTGAGCACTTACTACTGGATTAAAAGAACACACCATATATCCTCAAACAGAGATTGTACTGCCCAAGCGCATCAAAGTTGTGCTGACTTAAGATCTACACACTCTTAGTGCATTTCTTTCTTTTAAAATACATGCACCATAAGTACTACACCATATTTTGCCGTACTCTTCTTCTTATTTTGCATATTTATTCATGTCTGAGAACTCCCCAAATGCGCTACACCCTCCTTTTGCCTCACACAACTTTCGTTAAACCAGAACAGCGAAACCCTGGTTTGGGATCCTTGAGCTGCCTCCTATATTCAACTCTACATGCTAGAAACCGCCACCCTATTACTTTTATGACTGAAATTCTAACCTAAGTTTCCCAATTTTAAGACTGGTTAATTATCACTGTCCTAGCCAGCTGACGTACGACAGGGACCAAGCTATGAATGGGCAGGAACCCTTATTTAGCGTAAA